GTACAGTTCCTGACTGAGCTTAAAGTGCATGTGACATCAAAATTTTTGTAATAATACAAAAATGCATTTTTGGAAAGATAACACTGAGAACGTATTACAAAATAATTTTCATGCTGCTGAGATGAACAGTTGTTGAGATATTTGCATGTGAAGTAACAGGAAGTGATGTCAAAGGGAAATGCCTGCATGAAAACAGAGCTAAGCTAAAATGCTCAACAGCCCAGACTGTGGAGAGGAATCTGATGTTTTAGATTATTTTGAATTGTTATCAGAAACAAACAAACAAACAAAAAAACAAAGTCAGAGTTCAAATCATAATGTTTCAATAAACCAGTGAGTTATTTTTCTTAAAGGAGTTCCCCTTTGATGTCACTTCCTGTTTCCCTTTTGCCAAGCCTAGTTCAAAAGAAAATAGGCCAGTTACGTGTCCAAACGGGAAAAATAATGTGTGGTTATGCCAAGTTTCTTAAATAGAACGAAGTTTTCTTTGACTTTTTGTATATGAAGGATAAGCATGTCACAGGCACTTTAAAGTTCTGACATATGAATAGGTGAAACAGAACAAAGTTTGCAAACATTGAAGCTTAAAAAAATGTTTGAAGAAAATTATAAAAGGAAAACAATAAACTGAATGCAGACCCAGCATTCCAAAAACAAGTTTTACAAACACCAGTGACCTCTGACCTCTGTGTGTTGTTTCCAGTCCGGTTGGGTTCGGTCCCCTGCCCTCTAATCTCTCTGTTTTTGTGCTGTGACCTTCTCTGATTGGTCCACAACTCCTGACCCTAAAGCTGTCTTGGTTTTATCACTGCCGGTCTAATGCTGGTCCCGGCTTAAGCACTAGCCTGTATTTACACCTGGGATCCCTGCTGACACAGGGATAGCCATTACAAAATGTCGTAATGCTAATCTCTTCTAATAGATTAAGCATTGATCTGTGAGGCAGTAAAGCGGTTAGGAGGGTTCACTAAAGGTCGAGCTCGCACACTGAGAGATGAGGACAAATTTGTATTTCCTGAAAAGAAAACGTTTTAAGTTTCTGATGCGGGTTTTTTTTAAAACCTCATTGTAATTAGATCAATAAGTACTTATTGTTGAAAGGAAAAGGCAGAAAATCGTATAT